GTCGTAGTAGTAGTAGTAGTAGTAGTAGTAGTAGTAGTCGTAGTCGTAGTAGCATCCGCAGAAGAAGTAGCAGTAGCAGTAGTAGTATGAGTCGGAGTAGTATCAGTTGTAGCCGCGGTCGTCGTACTAGTAGTAGTATAGTAGTAGTAGTAGTCGTAGTAGTAGTAGAAGTAGTAGTAGTAGTAGTAGTAGTAGTAGTAGTAGTAGTCGTAGTAGTAGTAGCCGTAGTCGTAGCCGCAGTCGTAGTAGTCGTAGTCGTAGTCGTAGTAGTAGTAGTAGTAGTAGTAGTAGTAGTAGTAGTAGTAGTAGTAGGTAGCGGTAGTAGTAGTAGTAGTAGTAGTAGTAGTAGTAGTAGTAGTAGTAGTGGTAGTAGTAGTAGTAGTAGTAGTAGTAGTAGTAGTCGTAGTAGTGGTGGTAGTAGTCGCAGTAGTGGTAGGCGTGGTAGCAGTAGTAGCATTATCAGTAGTCGTAGTAGTAGTAGTAGTGGTAGTAGTAGTAGTAGTAGTTGTAGTATTTGTAGTACTAGTAGTAGTAGTAGTAGTAGTAGTAGTAGTAGTAGTAGTAGTAGTAGTAGTAGTCGTAGTCGTGGTAGTAGTAGTCATAGTAGTAGTAGTAGTAGTCGCATGTGTAGTTGTAGCAGTAGTAGTAGTAGTGGTGGTAGTAGTCGCAGTAGTGGTAGGCGTGGTAGCAGTAGTAGCAGTAGTAGTAGTCGTACTAGTAGTACTTGTAGTATTCGTAGTAGTAGTAGTAGTAGTAGTAGTAGTAGTAATGGTTGTAGTAGTCGTGGTAGTAGTAGTCATAGTACTAGTAGTAGTCGCAGGTGTAGTTGTAGCAGTAGTAGTAGTAATCGTGGACGTAGTGCCTGTCGTAGTAGTAGTAATACGTGTAGTAGCAGTAGTAAGGGGAGTAGTCGTAGTAGTCGTAGTAGTAGTAACAGTAGTGGTAGTCATAGTGGTAGTCGTAGTAGTCGTCGTAGTAGTAGTAGTAGTAGTAGTAGTAGTAGTAGTAGTAGTAGTAGTAGTGGTAGTAGTAGCAGTAGTAGTCGTAATCGTCTTAATAGTCGCCGTAGTAGTAGGAGTAGTAGTGGTAACAGTAGTAGTAGTAGTAGTAGTAGTAGTAGTAGTAGTAGTAGTAGTAGTAGTCGTAGTAGTAGTAGTAGTAGTAGTAGTAGTAGTCGTAGTCGTAAAGTAGTAGTATATTAAGTATTATAGTATTAGTATAGTAGTCGTCGTAGTAAGGTAGTAGTATTAGTAGTAGTAGCAGTAGCAGTAGTATTAGTAGTAAGTTAGTAGTATTAGTAGTAGTAGTAGTAGTAGTATTACTTGCAAGAATGGTGGTAGTTGTGTTAGTAGCAGTCGGGTGCAAGTATTCATTCCAGGCGGTAGTAGTCGCAACAGTAAGCTCGTGTATTCGTCAAGTAGGGGTAATAGGCGCAGTCGGTGCCGTGTGGTAGTGTATCTTAGTC